TTATAAACAATTAATATTTATGAATTAGCTATTTGAACAAATAATAAATTTTTATTTTTATTTTTTTTAAAAAAAAAATTGTCTCTTTCCAATTGTTAGAAATGGAGAGAAACGCATCCTTCACTTACTCACTCGGTGGTTGTCCTGCGGCATGTTCTGCCACTAACACTAACAATTTTTTAAGTACAACATTTTATTATTTAAATAAATTCAAAATATAAATATTAACGAACATCATGCGAAGACGATTCTTGCCTGCGCTCTAGAACCTATTATAGTAGATTGTGAGGGTAATTTCGTAAATTCATATGACGAATTAGAAGAGTGTACGTCCCAACTTTTCATTCTAATCAACTATCCCTCCTTCCCGGTTAGTTCCAACAAACACGCCGATCCAGCCCTGTCAGAAAAAAAGTTCGAACCCCATTGCTTTAGAACCATGGTGGTCCTCAATCTGGAAGGTGTAGAACTTGACACGTCGGCAGCCGATGATTAAGACCGACACGCACGAAGCACTGAATCATACCCCCCGAACCAACCGACTGATTGCCTCTTACATAGTTCTGAAAACTCAGAACTCAGAAGACCAAATTTGACTCCCTCACTCCCTCGCTCACTCTCATCTGTAAAGCAGGAGATTTACTTATCTCAATAGAATTGAGCAGGACGTACAAAACCCTAGCTGTTTAATCGAAATCAAAATCAAAGCAAAATGGGATCTGGTGCTGGAAATTTCCTGAAGGTCCTCCTCAAGAACTTCGATGTTCTTGCTGGGTGTGTACTTCACTCTCTTCGTTTCTTCTTATTTCGCTTTTACAATTGAGCCCTCCGCCGTGCCGATTTTCTTCGGCAGATCAGTGAGAAAGTCATTTAGTAGTCGAATTTTTGTTTACAACTGTGTTCTAATTTGGTTTATGGGGTTTATTTGCAGGCCTGTGGTTAGTCTCGTTTATCCTCTGTAAGCGGGGACTTACCCTTTTCCTTTCATTCTGTTCTACGAGATGCCTAAATATTTTGAATTCGCTTTATTATTTTAGTGAATGATCTGGTGTTGTGTGGGATTTGAGATAAGATTGGTATGTTGTTTTAACAGATATGCGTCAATAAAGGCTATTGAGTCCAAGTCGCATGTTGATGATCAACAATGGCTTACATATTGGGTTCTCTATTCTTTACTTACGCTCTTTGAGCTCACCTTTGCGAAAGTAATTGAATGGTGAGTTACGTTGTTAATATAACATTCTCTTTGTTGGTTTAGGAACAAGTTACTGCTTAAGATGATAATTGAAACTTTAATCTTTACGTTTAACCCTTGTTCTTGTGTTTGTTTTGCATTTTTTCTTTGCTCACCTTTCAGTGACTGTGCTTGTTGTTGATTAATTAGCGGAATAAGAATGATAAAATTATTCTGTTTTGAAAAGAAAATTTTTTTGTATTTGATGACCTGCTCAATAAAATTACACGTTGGAATGATTGAAGTTTTCGTCAGTATATGTCTGTCTGTAATTGTGTTGTGGAACATTAATGTGAGACCTGATTCTTGTTTTCCATTATTAAAAATGTATCTATCACCATTATGCTAATGATTAGAGAGGATTTGAAATGATTTCATCCAAAGAACCAAAATTATCCAAATATCTAATGGCACTAGTCGTCAAATGCCTTTTACTGTTTTAGGTAGGAGGAAAATCTCATATAGCCAAAATTTATGATGGATTTCTTTAATCTACGTGATAGGATTCCTATCTGGCCATATGCAAAGCTCATTTTGACTTGCTGGCTCGTCATCCCATACTTCAGCGGTGCTGCATATGTTTATGAACATTACGTGAGACCTTTCTTTATCAACCCACAGACGATTAACATCTGGTATGTGCCAAGGAAGAAGGATTTGTTCAGTAAGCCAGATGACATTATAACAGCTGCAGAGAAATACATGGAAGAGAATGGGACAGAGGCTTTTGAGAAGCTCATTCATCAGGTATGCTATTAATTGACATTGATTGCTCTGAAAAATTTTCCTTATATACTTTAAAACTAT